TACCCGACTCATGATTTGGAGTTGGCAGCGGTAGTTTTCGCTCTGAAAATATGGAGGCATTACCTCTATGGCACGAAGTGCAAACTTTTCACTGATCATAAGAGTCTCCAATATCTCTTTAATCAGAAGGAATTGAATATGAGGCAACGACGCTGGCTGGAATTACTCAAGGACTACGACTGCGAGATACTTTACCGCCTCGGTAAAACTAATTTTGTTGCTGATGCTCTCAGTCGGAAATTCAATCTTGAAAGGAAAAGGCCAAGAGCGTTGAGAATTGAAGTTGTCTCGACCATTGTGGAAAGTATAAAGAAAGCTCAAGAGGAAGCTTCTGAGAAAAATGACCGAAAGGAGGAACGTTTGGGTAAAACGTTGGTGTTTGGTACAAACGGTCATGGACTGAAGGTATTCCAAGATCGTATTTGGGTACCTAAGTCAGGAGGAATTAGAGATCTTCTGATGGAAGAAGCTCACAAGACCATGTATTCGATTCATCCCGGTAGCACTAAAATGTATAGGGACCTGAAACCCTTCTACTGGTGGCCGACGATGAAGCTTGATGTTGCAAAGTATGTGGCCGAGTGTGTGACTTGTGCGAGAGTCAAGACACAACATCAGAAACCGTACGGGAGTTTAGAACCTTTACCTGTGCCTATGGGTAAGTGGGAAGACATTGCTATGGATTTTGTCACTAAACTACCCAGAACAAAGAATGGTCACGACATGATTTGGGTGGTCGTTGATCGATTCACTAAGAGTGCGCATTTCATAGCAGCCAGGGAGAAATGGTCTATGGAAAAGCTTGCGAATTCTTATGTGAAGGAAATTGTGAGACTTCACGGTGTTCCGTTAACAATTGTGTCGGATCGTGATAGTCGTTTCACCTCAAGGTTTTGGAAATGTCTACAAGAGGAAATGGGTACCAAGTTATGTTTAAGTACAGCTTACCATCCGCAGACTGATGGTCAGAGTGAAAGAACGATACAAACACTTGAAGATATGCTGAGAGCATGTACCTTGGAATTCCTAGGTAATTGGGATGAACATTTACCTTTGGTAGAATTTTCCTATAATAATAGTTTTCACTCGAGCATTAAGATGGCACCTTACCAAGCTTTGTATGGACAAAAGTGTCGTACGCCGTCTTGTTGGCTTGAGGCTGGGGAAAAGCAGTTTATGGGACCGGAGATGGTTCATCAAACTGCTGAAAAGTTGAAAATAATTAGGGAAAGAATGTTAGCGGCTCAGGATCGTCAAAAGAGTTATGCTGACAAAAAGCGAAGACCGATGACTTTTGAAGTTGGGGATTCGGTTTTGCTTAAAGTCTCGCCGTGGAAGGGACTTATAAGATTTGGTAAAAGATGAAAGTTGAGTCCAAGGTTTATTGGACCGTTTAAAGTTCTTCAGAGAATTGGGAACCAAGCTTACAAGCTCGAACTACCAGAAGAACTGAATGGAATTCACAACACTTTTCATGTGTGTTATTTGAGGAAGTTCACGGGAGAAGTTCCCGATATAATTCCAATTTCCGAATTGAGAATTGATGAGAACAAAAGGTTGATTGAAGAACCAGAGGCAATTGTTGACCGAAAGACTAAGAAGTTGCGACACAAGATGGTCGAGTTAGTGCTTGTCCGATGGAAACACACGAATGGGCCGAATCTCACCTGGGAGACGGAGAGTGACATGAGGAGTCGCTATCCGCATTTGTTTGTTGATGTGTGATTCCGGGGACGGAATCATTCTAAGGTGGAGAGAATTGTAACGCCTGTGTTTCCGGGCTTGCCATTTTTAGCAATGTAATGGTCTAGGTTAACCTTTGTAACCCGTTTTGAAATAATAAGATTGTATTATTTGAGTATTATGTGTTTTGTGCTTAATTGCTTAATTATGTGGTTTGATTAATTAAGAATAAAAATAAGCGTCAAAATTTAAGTGTAAAATAAACTTGATATCTTTAGATAATGTTGTAGTAGTTGAAACAAGGTTTCCGAAGATATAAAGAATGCCGAAATCCGAGTTATAACGAGGAAGTTATGACCTGTCGAAGTTTCGCGACAGAACCGGCAACGCTGAATAACGTAAAAAGTGAAATTTACGTTAAAGCGATATTTAGCCTTAGTGATCTAAACGAGAATCGAAGATCTCGTTGTTAGTATCAAAGCGATAAAAAGTTAGGCGAGAACGGACGTCAAACGAAGAAGTTATGAATTTATAACGAAATTTCTGTCCCGGCCTATTAAAAATAAATAATAAAAATAAAGTCAAAATTAGCCGACGGAGTCTAAACGAAAGTTGTAGAGCGTAGTCTCACCTTTCCGTGGATATAAAGAACGTCGAAAACGGAGTTCGTATGAAGAAGATATGAATTTCCGAAGTTTATAAATAATTTGTATTTATTTTTAAATCAAAAATCGGCATTATCCGAAGGGAGTCACAGATCTGATCCGAGGTACGCGCTGCGTACTCGAGTACGCCCCGCGTACAGCCAAAGTGTCGACACTTCGGATGACGCATGCAGTGACGCATTTCGGAAGCAGTACACGCTGCGTACAGGCGTACGCCCCGCGTAATTCGGGCTTCCAGCCTCCTATAAATAGGATGCGAGGGGTCCGGGTTTAATTGCTAATTTCCTCTCGTTTTTGTGCCGAAGCTCTGCGTTTTTACCCCCGAAGCCATCCCGAAGCCCCGGTAATATTCCCGAGTCCCGAAGCGAGTCCCGAGATCCCGAAGATCCCGAGAAGTGCGGTTTCCGAGCCGAAGCTCTGCCCGCGAGAAGTTCGATTTTCGTAGAGATCTTCCAGATCTGCGGAGGATTATTAGTTTTGCAGTCGTAGTGCTGTCCGATCATCTTCTGATCAAGTGAGTGTATACTACCTTTCATAAACGCAATAATAATACAAGTATGGTTTGAGTGTATTAAGTTTATCGTCGTTTATATGTGAAGGCGTTGTTACTTTCTCCTAACGTATAACTATAAAGTATTTTATACGAGATACGTGTTATGTGTATATTTTGTTGTTATGTGTGTGAATGTATATTCACTTTCTTCTATCTTACAGATATGATTATTTCTATATGAAATACGTGTTATGTGTGTGTGCCTCATCTGTTATATGGAAAATGTATTGATCAAGCATGCTATACAGGTTTTGAAAATATGTATAAAAATGTATGTTTTTATCTACTAATATGTTGGGTAGAACATGGGTAGATAGTTGGTGTGTAATAAACAGATGAGAGGCCTCGTTGTTGTTTGATCCAGTCATCTAGCGGAATTTAGATGACGACCACGGACTTTTCTAGATAGTCCAGTGGAACGCTAGCAGGCTCATAACCTGTAGGTGTTAATGAACTTGGGTGTTCATTCGTTGTATTCCATCCCCCTCATGGTTGCCTTATTTGACTTATATTGCTGAGGAAACCCCGCAGCATGTGTTGTCACCCCGATGAAAATATTCTTAGATTAGGTCCCTTGTGTTAGTTATTTTAGGGACGTAAAGTGAGAATAACGGAAATGGGTAACTGGGTTATTGTTGGTTGATAATAATTAATTTAATTATTTATTGTGGGTTGAAAACCCTATATGCTCACCAGGCTCCCAAGCCTGACCCACTCAGTTTTATTTGTATTACATGAAGTGGCGCAAGGGTGTAAGATGGATGAACCATCAAGTTGTTTTGTTTGCAAGTCTGCATATGTTTATATTTGTGATATGACTTGTAATGTATTCGTTTATGCTTATTGGTCTGTATCGGAACATGACACCCCGAGTTTTGATTTTAATGAAAATACATTTCTTTTATGAAATGCTTCGGTAAACATCGTTTTATCATGTTTTGTTTTTGGGAACAAATTCTGTAACTCTTTCAAATCAAAAGGATTTACTCCGAAAATATTTAAAAGCATAAATGAAAAATCGGTCTTTTCTGGCCGAGATTTTGGGGATGTCACATCTACAATGGAACCTTGAGTATGGAATTTGATGGTGAAGTTATCAACTTCAATGTGCATGAAGAAAAAAAAGACTCCTTTTGATGTTCAATCTGTTAATTTTGTCAATTTGATCCATCCCTCAACAAAAAAGGGTTTGAACTTGTCTAACGATGAGTTTCTGGAGTTAGTTTTGTCACGAAAACTAGACAGGGACAAAGCCAAAGAGCTTGCAAAGAAGTTTGATATGGATAATGAAGTGTTGGAGATTTTAGAGTTTATTGATGACAAGAAGCATGTGAGGAGTGATGATATGTTAGAGAGGCCGACGTATCGAGACTGAAGCACAAATAGTTGGGGTCCAAGTCGAGCCAACGACATTAAAAAGGGGCGGCTAACCGGGAGGCAACCCGGGGGTATTTTTGTCATTTTGTATATTTTCTTTGTTTTCAAACTTCCAAGTTGTTTTTCATGCTAAAAAAGGGTTAAAAATCATTTTTCGGGCAGTAGAGTTTAGCGGGTTGCAATTTCAAAAAGTGAAAAAAATCAAGTTTTTGGCTTTCTCAGAAGTTTACACGGCCGTGTAAACTTATGCCTTGCATTTACACGGGCCGTGTAAACGATTGAACATGGGTTTAATGATTCAGGGATTTACACGGCCGTGTAAACCCTCCCCTTTGATTTACACAGGCCGTGTAAACGCAAAAACAGGGATGAACGATTTTAAGGTCAAATCTCGATTTTTCTAACTCATTCTTCACTCAATACCTGCGATTCCCTCTCTCCCTACTGCCCCCTTCGAAAAAACCCTTCCAAATACTCAATCTTCCTCAATTTTGCATCAAAAATCAAGCTCCAAGGTATGAAATTCCTCCCTTTTCTTCATCTTCTTTATCTTCCACCTCTATTTCCTTCTCCCTTCATTTTCTAGTTCTTGTGCTTCAAATAGAGTTGGCACTTCACATGATGAACAAGACCCACATGCCATAGACAACCCCTATGAATTTGGTCTTATTTTTGAGACCAATCGACAGGAAATCTTGTATGCAAATATTGTTACAAGAACAATGGGTGCTCAAAAATTTGTGGACATCCAAGCCCTCAAAGATTTACACATATACAAGGGTGTTCACAAGCTTTTTAAAAACATAGGGTGGGAGGGTCTTTTGAATCTTCATGCAGTTAGTTACCAAACACCGATGTTGGAACTTTTGTCTTCCATTACCTTTGACTATCAAACCCATCTCCTAACTTTCCGTTTGCTCAACCAAACCCATCAATTTCATGCTGATATCCTTTGCGATATGATTGGTGCTCCTAAAGCAAGAAGGGATATATACACAGCTAAGGGTAGAAAAAATGTTGTTTTTGAGCAAGACTGTGCAAATTTTTGGAGAAACATCTCTTGTGAGTATGAGTATCAATCAGGCACTGCCAAAGCTTCTAGCATTGTCCATCCGGTCTTGAAAGTCGCTCACCGGATCATTGCTTCTCTCTTATTCCATCAAGAAGAGATTAGCAAGGCTAATAAGAAAGAGCTAGAAGTCTTGTGGTGTATGATTAACAAGCCTGCAGAAGTCCCTCATTTTGGTTGTTGGGTTATTCAAAAAATGCTCAGAAGTGCTACGAGCAATGGTGGACAGCTACATTGTGGAGGCATGGTTTCTATTATTGCAGAGCATCTTGGCCTCCATCTACCCAATAACCCAACAAATATCATCATGGGTCGTACTCGTCTATCAATTGATGTTATGGAAACAATGCATCTCTAACACCGCCTTCCCACTGGGGATATTCATTGGACAGTAGATGGGAAAGAGTATCTACGTATAGATAACAGAAATAAGAAGATACCCAATTTAGCCAATGATATTCCATCAACTAATTGGAAACTCAAATCCAACTTAGGTGTTACAGTAGACCATAGTCCTCCATCCTCTCCTCCTCCTGCTCCTACTGCTGGTGCTTCTAGCTCATCTCGCCCTATTCCTTTTTCTGAACATAATCTTTATATGGGCGAGTTTGCACGTTTGAATCATCGTTACACCAGTCTACAACAGGAAGTCGGGGACATTTATACGGGTGTCGCTAAAATCACTTCTGATTTTCAGGACTACCGTAACTTACAATAAGAGCATTGGGCCCAACAAGAGTTGCGGTGGGCTGAGTAGGATCAAAGATGGGCTACTCAAGAGCAGCACAACCGCAAAATTCACCATCTGCTGAGTGATATCCACAGAGTTCTTGTGCTCCCCACACAGTCGCAGCAGCCATCAGCATCCCAACCCCGATGGCCTCCCTATTATCCTACAGATTACCCTTCACAGTTCCCTCCATATCCTCCGCCCGGTCCTCAATAGGACGGCTACGCCTCTCTCCAAGCATCGAGGACGATGCTATACTTTAAGCTTGAGGAGGGGTATCCATCCATGCATTATTCCGTTGCATGTAGGTTGTATGTCGTTTTGTACATATCGCATTAATTTTCATTTCATTTTCTTTTTGGAAGGAGGGAGGGGTGCTCCTTGTTATAATGTCATTTTAGGACTGTCATCTCAGCCATAATGGTATCATGGTGACTGATATCGCATGCTCTTAAATATTATAAACGTTAAAAAAATCTATTTTTTATTCCCACAGTAAAAGCTCAAATAAATTATATGAATATCTAGCATACCAATATTAGGCTATCGGCTAATCTTAGCCGTGTATAAGATATCATTGATTGAGGAATAAGCAATATAAATAAGATTAGAACAATTAATTTTAACAAATTTATTTCAAGGATAATGCACTCACCTATAACAAAACATTTGTTATAGTCGAATTGGATATCTGGATTATAATCTTTGTGAAATATCGAATTTGATATATTTATATAAAAAAAATATATAGCTGCGAAGAACCTTTAGGTTTTATGATGTTATCGTTATATTTTTAGCATTGAAAAAATAGAAGAGAAAAAAAAATCGAACAAAAAAGATTATGTATATTGAGATTATAACTTATATTTCTTAATGTTTTGAATGAATTAAATTGCACGCGTCTTATGTCTTTTGTATTGGCTTGCTGATTGCAATGGACTCCCACATCGGCCAGACAGAAGAACTGCTAATATTTTATATATCTCTGCATCTCATCTGCATTCGTCCCTTCGGGGACATCCGATAAAATTGGAACGATACAGAGAAGATTAGCATGGCCCCTGCGCAAGGATGACACGCACAAATCGAGAAATGGTCCAAATTTTTTTTTTGCCCTAATTTTCGTTGAATCGATTACGGATTTCAGTTGTGTTCGCCCGCCTCCTTCTATATCGGTTGCTTCGTTTTTAGATTTCAGGTGTGTTTTTGCCCTTAATTCATTTGAATGGACTTTCTCTGTTTATTTCGATTCCCTTTTTTTTTTTCCAAAATTTCTGTTGATTTTTTGCCCTAATTTGCTCAATCGACTGTTGTTTTTTTTTTCCAAATTCGCCTCCTTCTATATCGGTTGCTTCGTTTTTAGATTTCAGGTGTGTTTTTGCCCTAATTCATTTGAATGGACTTTCTCTGTTTATTTCGATTCCTTTTTTTTTTTTTTTTTTCAAAATTTCTGTTGATTTTTTGCTCTAATTTGCTCAATCGACTGTTGTTTTTGTCCTAATTCGCCCCCATCGATTTCTGCATTTCTATTCGCTTTTTGCCCTAATACACTCAATCGGTTATTTTTGGATTTTTGTTCCTTTTGCCAAATGTCATTCAATTGATTGCTGTTTTTTTTTTCCTACTGTTTTTTTGCCCCATTCTCTCGAATAGATTGCTGCGTTTTTTAAATTTCTGCCTTTTTTTTTCGTACTTAACTCAATCGAATGCTACATTTTTTGCTTTCTACTGGTTTTAGTCCAAAATCAGTCAATCGAATGTTCTATTTTCTTGATTTCTGTTGTATCCGCACTGATTTCTTCAATCAATTGCTGCATTTTTCTAAATTCAAGTGTGTATTTTCCATGCCAAATTTTTTGTATAGTTTGTGGTTTTGGAGCATAAATTTTTTGTTGGATTGTTGGATTCACGAGCTACAAAGAGTTACATTTAATAAATTCCCTCATAAACTTTTACTGATTTTTGTTAATAGCTTCAGTTTACATGATTCATACAACACTTGTATAATCACTTATAATTCGGCATGAAGATTATTATAGAACTTTACTCTTTGAATGTCGAGATTAGGGTTTTTCTTTCCTTGATGGAATTCACTTAATGGAGTGTATTCAATAGCTTCTCGATCAAAAACCTCTTATTCATCACTGCTTGCAGGGTTATCTTCAGATAATTCTTTCCATCACATAAAAGTCAAATTCATTATATAGAAAAACAAATAGTTGTATATAACCCAAGTGGCTGTTTTATATTTTATTAAATATAGAGGAACACCAAGTGGCTATTTTATATTTTAAAGATCTTAACAAGGTAAATGCTTAATTTGAACAACCATATATGGTCATTTCTTTTTGACATAATCCGGACATAATGACTTTATGAGTTAAGAAGCCAAAAAGCTTGGCTCATTGCATTAAGAGGGTAGCCATTTACCAAATTTATTTTTTTCTCTCCCAACTAATTCACATTAAAATTGATAAATATTGTTAAAATTGATAAATATTGTGAAATTTGTTTTTTAATATAGGGATAAAATAATAATTAAATCTTATTCACTCGGTTTATTTGGTCTAGAAAAGAAACTTAATATAAATTTTATCCAGAAAAAAACATGATTGTTTATTCAGCCACTAACCTCTATATGACTTAATGAGTAAAAAAACAACCCCTAAAACAAGCTTTTACAAGAGATTTATTGTGGAAAAGTTCAAGGAAGGCAAAAGATGAAATGAAATCGGATTGAACCAACGAGGTTGAGAAATGGGTAATACAATAGAATGTAGTATTACATTCTATTATCATGTGTGATTTAAAACTTTCATGTTTGTTATTTGTAATTTGAAAGCTAAATAGAATTAAATTATTAAAAAAAAGTTATTTAATAAAATATAAACGTTATAGATACAACGCTAAATGAGTTTAAGCATAAACATATTTAATGTGATTAAAAAAAAACATTAAATGTTAAAAAGTAGAATCATCATAAATATTTATTTAGTAATTTTTGGAAATAAAAATAATATAATTGAATATTTGAGTTTTTTCAAAAACATTAGTATTATCGGAGATTATATAAATTAAACTAGTTTTTTAGTTCTAAATTATAATATCTCATCTCAGTCCTCCAAAAATAAAATACGTCGCCAATGGAACCAAAATCATTGCACAAGACAGAAATCATATTTTAAACCCTACACAACTAAAAGGATTAAATTTGTGCACAAACCTACCTACAGCCCCAATTTCTAACAATGAAGAGGGTAAAAGGTGATGTTTGTGTGCATTAAGTCACCTCCACTGACTTAACTCATTAAGACTTTTTGTATGGATTAAATCAAAAGAAAACAACCTAATATATTTCATATCTGTCATATTTGTTAAAGTGCAAAACGAACACCAAATTATGTCCGAAGAAGCTATCAACTATTTTAATTCTAACAATAATAAATATCATGATAAAGTAAACCGAATGGATAATCATTACAATATATAGTATATCCTATTTGGTTGTTTAGGCGAGTTTTCATCGTATTTAGATTTAATTTATAATTTACTTCTATATTATATAATAAACTATACTCAAATTATTTACAAAAACATAAAAAGCAATTTAATTTAAGTTATAAATGTTTCAAAAAGGCTAATGTTTTTCACTCAAGAAGAACATTAGTTAGGCTATAACTTTTAATCTGTTTCACGAAATGAAAAACAATCAACAAGAGTTGCATACCTTCATAATCTATTTTATTTTATTAGACAATATAGACAACTTTGAATAATTTTTTTTTTCCTTTCATTTCCTCATTTCATCCTACCAAACACTACATCAGAACATATTCGATTGAACCAAATGAAACAAAGAAGAAACTGAATTGACAGTGGAATAAAATAACCATGGTAATTGAATGAATATACATTCATGATTCATGGCATGTAGTAACAACATCAACATTATATCTAATTATAACATGTAGTTTTTCAACTTTTACCTAACATATTATTCCATTATAACTATTAAAAATCTTATATAACAAAAACAAAAAAGTTCAAAAACCTAAATAAGATTACAATTACAATAGCCATATTCAAAAAGTAAAACTGTACTCCATTTCACTTATAAAAATCATTCCATACAAGAGAGATTTTCTTTACAATTTTACCTTTTGTTCTTCAAGGTTTCACAGTAGTTTTTCAGCCATACAGAAGCCGATTTAAGAATCCTAAGCTCCCCATTGAGTAGATCTTCAGCAATCTCCACCCTTCTTGCATCTTTTCCCAACGACACACTACAACTGTCGCTAATTACAGACTATAAAAAAAAAAGTCAACATTGAAGGAAGGTCAAACATTGAATTAGATGATTAATAAGATTAGGAGAATAATTAATTACCTGAATAAACGCATTATAATTTTCAATAATGTGATTAAATCTTGAAAGCAAGAATTGATGTGCTTGCAATTCTTTTGCCCTGTTCTTGAAAGGAACCCTAGCAAGCCGACCATCATTTTGTCTTGCTTCCATAGCCAACTCCTGCAACTCTGTAGTGGAGATCAATCACATAAACATAACAATTTCATACAATTCTTAAAAACATAATTTTAACAAAATTTCACATATCCATTTTGTTTCATTCAACTTTTTGTATGTAAGAGACCTTGAGAAGATGTACAACACAGAACACGAGCAAATGCTCTAAGTGATTGTGGGATTCCCTTTCCTTTTCCACTCGATGACTTCACTTTCCTTTATTAAAATAATAAATATTTCAGAAAATGACTGGACAAAATAAAAAAGGGCAAATTTGTGACCTTCATACATCACCATAAAGCCGTTTCCCAATGAAAGGGCATTATCGTCTTTCGGCACTGGTGTTGTGTGTCTTTCTAGAAGATCCAACTTCATTGAACGCAGGTGGTCATGCTCAGGTAGATTGACCTCAACTTTGACCTGCAATAAAGTGACATCATTGATAATTAAGTTTAAAAGAAACACATAGAGATGATTATATGAATGAGTAAAAGTGTAAAACCTGATCATATTTGTTGCAAGGAAGTATAAATCCAAAATCCAAGAGAAGTCTAGCATTGGAAAACTTCCCATATCTTATAAGAATCTGCACAAACTTTAAACAATGATTAAAACTGTAGAAGCACTGCAGATATATATAAAAGATTGAAGTAAAGAGGACCTCATCACCAGGGGCATAATTCTGATCAGAAATCACTTCAGACACTTGTTGAAAGTCATCACTCAAAACATCTGTTTCTGAAAATCCATCATGGTTTAAAAAATCTGCAAAAGGAATCTGAAACGTATTTTCCTACAACCATGACTATTATTTATTCCAAACAGTTAAAAAAAAACGTTTAAAGAATCATGAAATTAGGGTACCATGGAAACACCCCTTGTGCTGATCCAACCTCGAGATTCAACTAAAATTATTACAAAAATGTGATGTTAGTTAATGGATAGAAGTGAATTGAAGATTGAAAATGGAATCTGATAAGATTGTTATACCTAGAGTATAAGCATGCTTAAATTTGTCTAATGTCACTTCTTCAAAAAATTCAGGAAAGTGTTCAAGAATCTGCATGGAAAACAAAAATTATATATATATATATATATATATATATATATCCTGATGATTTGTGAAATTGCACAAACTACAGAAATGTAAAAGACATACATGTTTTATGGATGAAAAGTCTTTTTCTATTTGAGCCTTATGTTTTAGAGTTTCATGATATAAAGAACTTATCTTGATCATCTTTAATTCCTCATCGCTCCAAAATAACTACAGAAATAAAAATTGTGCTTTAAGGAAATAACACAAGGGAATTTTGTTATCAAATGTGTGACTTAATAAAAGGGTAAAAAGGGAAATACGGTGCTATGCATCTCTGAAACTGGTGGCAAACAGCTGATGTAAGGGGCCCATTCAGAAGCCTGCATTAACGAACAGAAGATAAACAAGGAACCAGTTGGAATGTCTTCAGTTTTCTAAAACAGTTTGAAAGAAACATGTACAGAATTGGTACCTGACCAAGTTTTTGGTGCATTAAGATGACCAATGCAAGCTTTGCAACATTAGTAACATCATCTCCTAACAAAGAACTTATTGAAGGAAGAAGATTATCTGGGGCCAATTGCTGCAAAAATGTCCACATATGACATGGTAACTTTGGGATTTATAATCATGGAGCACAAAACAGTTATAAAGTTTCAGTAAAGCATACCATTCTGTAAGGAACTTTCAGTATGCAATCACCAGCATGTATTGGTTTACAAGCAAACAATGACCTGCATTTAGGGCGTATCACAGATGAGCAAAAAGAATTTGCAAAATCATAAAAATATTTGAAACATAAAAGTTACCTGCCATGAATTGATTTCCCTACAGAGAGCACGGACGAAATTTCCTCCCCAGCCTTCTGCCTCAACCACGGCAAGAAATCGGTGCAATCCTCGTCTACATGCTGGGGTGCCTGAGTCAAGTGAACTCATTCAGTAATTTTATCAAACAGTTGGCAGACATGGATAAAACAAAGTCCTCCTTTGATTGAGTTTAGCTTTGAACCTGTAGTGGAGAAGATGATGTGGAGAAGTTGCACCTGATGCGGAGGCAGCAGCGGGAGGGAGCGAAGAAGGGCCGCTGGATTCGAACACCGGAAATTAGCATAGCAATGTGTGAAATGGTGGTCCGTTCCGACTTCCGACTAAATTTTTTGTTTGAGTTGAGTTGTTCTCCCTACCGATATTTTCAAAAACAAAATATGATGTTTTTATGACCTAAAATCATAATTTTTTAAATTTTTTTTCCTTGTAACGAAAACGACAACACATGTATTGTTGAATATATCTCTGCACACACCCATATCACCTTCTTGTAAATTACCATGATCACGATATGTAAGAACAATAGGAGCAATGAAAGTATGAAACCATGCATAGGAGGAAATATAGAATGACTGAATGGTATGGCTGAGACACTTCATACAACTCTCGAAAAGTTTAATAGATTATTGATGCCTCTAGGGAAGGTAGCGATGGATTTCCTAGTTTGTGGAAGTGATTCTAGCCCATAATCATAAATGGAAATTTGGGTCAGCATTATCCGAGATGAGCCCAAGATTATGCTTTGACGTCCAAGTTAGAGGATGTATACTTATGAGTGTGTGTGTGAGAGATGAATGAGAGTGAAATTGCTTACTGAGACCTTCTATGAAGATCCACATTTCGGTTTGCAAAACTTATGGTATGATGTGCTTAAAGCATATTTGTTTGATGTTGATGTCCAAAAGTTGCAATTGCAAAGAGATCTCGAGGTCGATGCGCATTGGATTTTGATCCTACCTAGGTTATTGATATAGATGTTTTAGATGATGCATATCTACATGTCGGTAGCGTGAAATGGTAGAAAGTCAGCATGATATTGAAATATTGATGTTCCTAAGTGGAAGTACTATTTTAGCATTAATGATGAAGTAGTCAATGATTCCCATTGTGCTTCAATATCTCCTTTGTCATAAGTGGATGAGGTGGTCTCTACTGACCATTTGTCGATTGAATTTGTTGATCTTTTTAGACAGGATGAAGGGAGTTCATGGGAATGTCAATGCTTTTGGCGATGTTAGGGTCACATTGATACTAGTTATGGTTTTGTCACCAATTAGAAGATCGTTTATGTTCTCTCTTGGAAAATTAAGATCGATGGCAACCTCCTAAAGCCTAACACTAGACTCATTTTAGACAAAATTGCAAAAATGGTCCCTGTAGTTGGCAAATTTATGTGTTTTTGGTCCAAAATGAAATGTTGGTGCACCACTAGTCCAAATTTGGATATCTCGTGTAGTTTTGGTCCTTATGGTTATCATTTTTTGTTGTTTTGGTCCATACCCTACCTAAAATGACAATTATGCCCTTAACTTATTGTTTTTTTTTTAATTTTGTTAATTAAGTTCCTATTATTTTAATTAAAAAACCAAAAAACCCACCCCACCCCCCTCTCTCTCTCTCTAATGTTGTTAAAGACCCATCACTGGCCTTCAACCCACTGCCTCCACCATCGTCAACCATTGCTACCTCAAAAACTTCAATCAACCATCGTCACCACATCTTCCTTCCTCAATGGATTCCCATCCATAAAAATCCATATCAGGTGTTTCTAGTGGGACACGATTGGGCACAACTGTCGCTTGGCATCTAGTCTTTTCCGGCCAAATAGAGTCAAGGGAATGATTTCTCTGGGTATTCCATCGTTTTCTAGATCCCAAACATGTAGAGTGCAGTCTGATTTTTTTGTGCATCTTATTGGTTTCACAACATAAACAATGAAAGATCAAACCCATTTCGTAATCAACGAGAAAGGGAGTGGCAGAACACCGCCCTTGTTTATCTATTCAAGCCACCATTATCAGTCGCCATCTCCTTCAGCGTTATCATAACACCACCACCTATTGGATCTGCATCACAAAAAAACAATCCCACCTACCCCACCCTAATTGTCGAAGAAGACAACCGGTCAACCTCTTCTCCCGAAATCAAACAGAAATTCGATACTAGACCACACCACACTAAATCAAGAACAATCCTGGAACCTACAACAAATATCAAAACCTGAGAATCTTATCAGGTCAAAAACTTAGACCCCTCTAGATCGAAAATCGAAAATAATCAGCCCTCGTCGAGAAGGCGTGACAAACGCAGGTGGTTGGGGAGAATGTCAATGATGGTTTTCTAGTTCACTGGTGGTGAAAAACGTTGGATCTTCTAGAGCTCTTTCTCAGCCAGTGATCAGAGGGAAGAGAGATAGATCCAACGAGGTATGGGTTTCAGGTCTGAGAAAGAGAGGCGTCTGGTGGGGGATAACGGTGGAGAAGATGGAGATGCTCGGCGAAGGATGGTGTTGGGGGCGAAAGTTGATGGTAGGAGGAGGTCGGGTGGAGGTGTTCTTGATGGTATGTGTTTGTGTGTGTTTTAAAGAAGTAGCAACAGACGAAGGGGGAGAGAGAGCGAGCGAGAGAGAGAGAGAGAGAGAGAGAGAGCCCTTCTTTTAGAGTAAATTATCTTTTTTTATATAATAAATAATAAATGAACTAAAAGAAAAGGAAAACGGAATTCAGGAGGGGTATAATAGTCTTTTCAGGTGTAAAGGGACCAAAATTACTAAAAAGATTCAATTTTGGACCAATGGTGCACCAACATTTCATTTTGGACCAAAAGCACATAAATTTGTCAACCACAGGGACCATTTTTGCAATTTTGTCCTCATTTTATGGATAATTTGCCTCCTCTGAAGACTAGACCTACTTTGCAAAGTTTTGGGATTTGAAGATTATTTGTCTTACTCCAAGATGATTCCTGAGCACTTAATCATTTTTGAGATCATTTTTGAGGATGTGATAGGCTTCGATGTACCATAACAATTCTTGGTCTTATATGTATTTTTTTTGGAACATCATAATTTTATTAAAAAACCAACAAGATGCTAGAAAAATACCCATTACAAAAGCCAAAGCTAGGTTTCGTAACCAAGAAATCCAAACCAACTTAACTTTTTTACATCCAAAAAACGTCATATCTACCATATCATCAAAAATAAAAGATTTCCTAAATAAAACCGCCCCAAAGAGAATAGATATTCGAAAATTCCATAAACACCAAAAAACTGTCATCACCACTACATCAAAAGCCTTGCATTCCCCTCACATCGGTTTAGCGGTATCGGCCCAACAAAATAACGAAAGAATGGAAATTGGATCAGAAATATGCACATCCCACCAAATCACGATATGCCTCCACAAGTGACTAATCTCCAAACAACCTACAAAAAGATGTTTAAACCTCCCTATAGAATGAGAACAAACAAAACACATAATCGACTTCACATCAATATCTCTATACGACAGTCTCTCTCGTGAGAATAATATGCAACAACACTCTCTAAAGAAGAATATTCAAGATAGGAACTCAATTATTTTATCTAGTTTACAATCCTGATTTGACTATTATCATGAATTAATGTTTATTTGTGTATATATCATTAAATAACACAAAGTTGAATAAAAAAACATTGATCCATAGCACCGGTAAGAATATAAAGTAAATATAAACTATAGTCACATGTAACTAACGATGTTCCTTATTTTAAATAATATATACTTATTTTTAACTAAAAATATCGTTTATCAACTTGTATGGTTGACTAAACCATATAAAAAAAATCAACAAACTTCATTTGGTTGATTACTATAATAATCGTATCACATGGTCCGCTATTCAGCACAATCCGTCCTTTCTCAAAATAAATATTACCATTATTATAAAAACTTACATAAAAGCACCGGCTTCTATACAGTATACACTGATACACATAACCATTCGGTAGACCTTGACAAAAAAGTCGACATACGAAGGTTGCTAACAACGACATAGAAAAATGTTATATATATAATAAAGCTTCATGAAACTGTGTGAGAAAATTCTATTGCCAAACATTTAACTTGTACCAGAGAGATCGAGCTTAAAGAACCACAAACAGCCTACAACATTAATTTGCATTTATTCCCAATAGTCAATACATATGGACGTTAGGTAAGAACTGCATGAAAAATAATTAGATATTTAGATATTACTTCCTATAATCTTATTGAAAGAAAGTCATAGTCATTCAATGATATCAACACTCTTAAGTTTTTTTTTTTTTTTTTTCATTGTTACTTGATCTTACTTAAACTACAAATAACGGATTAACGCATAATGTTACTGGTTGGCCTTCTTTTGCAGCGTTCATGGTTCAACCTTTATATTAAACTCATAAAGTAATGTCAGAGTTTGGAGGCAGAACACCAACATCAATATCGGCTTGGAAACGACATACTCAAATGAATCTAGATCATAGCCAATCGAATGACATCAATAATCACATTGCAAAGATCATGTAAATCATAATAGGTGAATTATCTCTAAATCCCGTAAACTGACTCAAATATGTCGTCTCACGACTAATTAACGATCATAAATTTTCTAAATGTATGGTAATACATTATATTATATTATAAATAAATAAATAAATAAAAACTTGCGAACAAAAGTCTGACTCACGACCTTAACTTACGAATTTTTGAAACCGTAATATCTCTCAAAAGTATTTCATGCGGAGCATAACTTTTTGCCCAAGAATGTTTAACTGTGACGTTTTATGTCATAAATTAAAAATTATTCTAACAAATGCACGAAAAATCTCACGAAAGTCATGGACATTTACAAAAATTAGAAACAAAACAGTCATCTTTTGACTTTGAAAGCTCTAATAGATTTTCTGTAAAAATAAAAGTTGGATGCTATAAGCCTATACTAAACCAAATTAACATAAATAAGTTGCTATTTTATGTATATAAACATTTTCAGAGTTCCAAATTCCAATCGATTGCTATGGCCATTTTAACAAATAATTATTATATGTATATAAACAATTTCAGATTTCCAATCGATTGTTATGGCCATTTTAATAAATAACTACTATATATATATATTTTTCAATCGTTGAACAAAAACTAAATACAGAAACAGCTGTACCAATCATCAATGCCAAGTACTTCAAATCAACCGGAGCAACTCACTACGACTGTGGCCAAATGCTGACCTTTTCCTTTTCAACCTTACAATACACCGCCGTAATGGCAGCCACAAAATAAACCTGAATAAAAATGATCGACGGCGTATGGTATTTTATCACACTCTCTCCCGTCGCCAGCTCCACTAACACCAACGCCGCCAACCCAAGGGCCGCCACCCGCCCATTCATCCTCTCCGAATACGGGCTGAACCCGAAATCCACTTTCAATCCACCTGAAATCGGCTCCTTCAAAGGCACCGGTGGGAGGTACATGTTTGCCC